ATGTCTCTCTTAGAGATCATGGTGCCACCACTAGTGTATGCCTCCATCCTCAGCCACAGGCAGGTTGTTGTGTTTCTTTATGCTGTAGACCACTGAAACAGATGAGAGGCTGTGAGCTCTTTTCCATGAGTCTCCTCCCCTCAGCGTGCCACCTCTGCCAGGCACAAATCAGAGTCTTGCTTCTCAGGTTCAGATGAAACAGTTGGAGATGTAATTAAATTTCTGTCTTTTTTGTTGGCATTGGGCATGTGGCCCTTCCTGCCCACGACCTTGCTAGGGATGGGGTTGCCTGTGGATTTGAAAGCTGAGCCCCCAGCTGGCAGTGTGCTACCCTTCCTGGTTATGGGACTTGCACTGTTTCCATTAGCAAAACCTCAGAGACAGGTAAGCCGCTGCCACCCGTGGGTGGCACACCGTTCATTGAGGGCACAGGTACCAGAGCTAAAGAGCAAAACCAGCTAGGCACTCCCAAAGTGGAGGCGTTACTGGGAGAGAGGGAAATGTTGCTGGTTGTGAATGAAGTCAGCCAGCTTCTGTATGCTGTATATTCTCTTTTCTGATATTATCTCTTTTCAACAAAAATCTGGCTTAGTAAGCAGCTGTTCACAAGTGGGGAAAATTACCTCGCAGAGTACCAGAAAGTTTAGTTTGATTTTCTGAAGTTTCTGTCAGGAAGTCAAGCTGATATTTTATTAGTGGCCTCTTGACTTTTGAAACCAATTGTTTCCAATCAAATCCTAGCCAGAGGGTTTACTTACAAGGAAAGTGTAGTCAGAGTCCTGTTTCTCTGAAAACAGCAGAAATTAGTGACTTTACGGGTGAGGAATGTCCAATCCTGCAACTCTGTTGAGGTTTCTGTTCAGGAACTGATGCCTCTGATGCCTTCAGGAGTTGCCATGCCTGTCTCTCCCCATTCCTGGAGAGAACATCAAGTGCCTGAAAGCCCTTTCCTACCCCTGTCAGCACTTCTAGCCTAAGGCACCCTGGCCCTTGGGAGCACAAGGAAATGGAAATGTCAGATGATATGGATCTGTGGAAAATTGCCTGGAAAGAAAAGGTCTGGATCCTAAAGGGAATTAGACAAGTGGGATTACAGCCTGATAAATGCCCCAAAGCAGTATTGCTACAAAAAGCAATCTTGCTGTATTTATCTTTGCATTGACTCAATTTTCCATGACTTCTTGGTGAGCTAGAGAGGAACTGATGCAGCTGAAAGCCATTCAGTAGAAGAATCCCAATCCTATGGAAAGAGTGATGTGGGAGTGGGAACAAGGAGTGGCAGAGGGCAAGTTTGCTCCCACCAGTTAGAGTGCCACTTTTTGGCAACTTTAAGGATTCAGTAAGCAACATGAAATGAAGGCCAGAGACACGGGCTATATTATCTTGCTGCTGTGTGGCAGAAACATGCTGTTATTCTGCTCTTTTATCTTCATCCCTTTTCGCATTCTCCAGGTCCTATCCCCTCTATGAACTGCTGCAATACAGCTTTTTGTGTTCTCACGTGGTTGTTTTGTAACTATTTCTTGTTGTTTTCAAAAACTGTCCTCTGTGATCCAGAGCCAGCAAATCAGGGTCTCCTTTAAGGTGTTGGTGCCTGTGACCACACAGATGATGGTAACTGGAAATTCCTCCTTCCTCTATAGATAATCTGACACGTTTATAGTTCTCCATCACTGCCTCTGTTATCCTCAGTCACAGGAACCACTTGGCTACATTTCAGATGCTGCTCTGGCCTTGTCTACGCTCATTTTTAGGAGTTATTCATAATCTTCTTCTGTGGCATTGCCTGGTGTCCACTCCACCCCTCCTCAGCCGTCCTGGGGGCAGCAAGTAGGGAGGGTGCCCGGGAGGTTGGGAGAGAACAAGAAGCCAGTGAGGGGCAAAGCAGGGGGAGGCTGGAGGGAGCAGACACCTGTCCTCCCTGCAAGCCCTGGCAGCACCCTTGCTGGAGGCATCAGCTCTGTCACCACCCGGCAGGACAATGCCTGCCAGTGTTAACCCAGACTTCATTCGCTCAGGGCGGAGGCAGGCTTTCTGTGCCAGACGCGATGTCAGGGTTTAACCCAGCCAGCAACTAAGCCCCACGCAGCCGCTCACTCACGCCTCCCCCCCCTCACAGTGGGATGGGGAGGAGAATCGGAAGAAAAGTAAAACACATGGGTTGAGATAAGAACAGTTTAATAACTAAAATAAAGTAAAATATAAGAAGAACAACAACAACAATAATAATGATGATGAACATTAATATAATAAAAAGAGAAATAAATCCCAAGAAAAGACCAGTGATGCACAACATAATTGCTCACCGATGCCCCAGCAGTGATCCACCCGTCCCAGCCAACTCCCTCAGTTTATATACTGGGCATGACACCCAAAGGTATTTGTGCACTGGCTTCGCTGGCAGAGCACAGGGAAATGAAAAATCCTTAATTTAGGGTAAGCACTACTTAGCAACAACTAAAACATCAGCGTGTTATCAACCTTATTCTCACACTAAATCCAAAACACACCGTACCAGCTACTAGGAAGAAAATTAACTCTTTCTCACTGAAAACCAGGACACACTGACACTCACAAAGCAAGACGAGTGGCAGATGTGAAGTTTGCATAGACAGTCCTGTAAAAAACATGACTTGATGCTGAATAGTATCACCAACTTAAAGCATGGAATTATGACCCCCTAATTCTCCTCATTAACATCTTGAGTTAGCATTAACATCATCATAATCTACTTTTATTTGGGAAAAACCCCACTATCTAGTATTTTTTGTGATGTTATGGTGTAGGTTATTGCAAATGTGTACATTTTCACAAGAATCAAAAGACCTGTGATTTTAACACATGCATAAACAATACTGGTTAAACTGTATAGTCAGGAGGTACTGTTTGTAAACAGATGCTTTATTTTTTGAAGGTCTTGCCAAATTCAGGTACAAAATGCTTTTCATTTATGTATATATCTGCAGGAAGGACTTGCTTAACTTTTTCAGCACATAGTAATTTTGTTTGTTGACAACTTTATTATGACAGAAGGGTTATAATATAGTGTTACAAAGGTATGCAGTGCCTACAGAACACATGCAAGGTATTTTCTCCCACTAACAATGTTGCTACAGGAGGACACAAAAATGTCGTACCATTTTCCATCTTCTCTCCCACCTTAACGAAAAACTGATTCGTTCATGTAATTTTAAAGCAAATCTGAATCAGAGCAGTTTATTGCTTTCTTAATGACACATAATTAACCAGTAGTGAACTAAACATTCAAGTCAACTCCTTCCATGTTATGAAAGTCTCTGTAGTTCCCCGACCACTGTTAAATCTGGCTGGTAGTCATCTTCCTTTTTACTGTGATCCTTTGGGGGCAAACGCCTTCTCGGACATTTTTTCCTCAGATCCACACAGTCCAAGCTCTCACATTTCTGTCTTAACAGATGTTGTGATCCAGGCTGTTTGCCAAGGGTGGGCCATGTGAGCACCCCCACATCTCACTTGTGTTATGAACTTCAGTTATTTCCAACTTTTGGTGTTATATAGCATTACTCAGACTCTGACCTTAAAATACTTTTCTCGTGATCAGACCTCCCGAGAGATATAGAGGAGCTTGAAGCAAGAAGGAAGACAGGGAAGAAAGGCTATAGAAGAGACGGGATCCTATAAAGTAATCAGCTTGGTGAGACCAAAAGCAACAAGCATAGCAGTAAGATTGTACAGGTACAGCAAGATCAACCAGTTGTTGTTTGGCTGTTGTCTGATGTGCAAGAGATGTTGACGGTAAAGTAGAAAGGAGTGGAAAGATTCAGAAGTATGAAAAACTGGACTGCAACAGCATCATGAAGAGACACTGTCACTGGAAATCAATTGGCTGATAACCTCTAATTTGACAAACAATTAAAATATTATCCCACTGACTCTGGATGAAAAAATGTGACCTTATGTAGATGACAAGAAGCAGAATAATATATTAGCCACTGCTGTCTTGGGTTATAGCAGTCAGAGATCTATACTCATTTGAGGGGGGGATAGGTGTAAAGCAGATGAGCTATGAAAGCCTAAATGTCTTTCACAGAATTATATTGCTGAAGTTTTCCTCTTTTCTAGTGGAATTCAATTCTGTCTTCCGAGACAGAAACTGACAATGCCTCACTGATATATAGTAAGCATTTTAGCTACACCGGGTTTATTAGCTTTTTCCACCCCTCCAATCCAAGTAGTAACATTTTAATCTCTTCTACCAGTACAGGATACTAAATTTATAGAACTGATTTCAAGCTAAAGATACTGTATTAGTTATAAACTTCAGAACTGAACAAAATCAACATAAGATTTAAAAAATCATTGTTACCTTGGAGACCTAAAATATTTTACTTTTTAAGAGAACACAACTGGTGTCTGAATGATCTAAATAAAATGATCCTCACTATTAAATAACCTTTTAAAATTGAACAAGTCTGTAAATAAAAATACAGGCTTTTGTCTGAACTTACATAGTTCATTCCAGTAACAATGTGTAATTTTTGTTGTTAGAAACATTTTCATAATGTGGGAAAGGAAACAAAACTATTTTCTGATGCAGTAATACCATCTTCAAAAGACAATTTTAAGAAAGTATTTTAAGAGATAACTATTTATTGCTGGTTTGTTTTGGAAGAGTTGGTTTGATTGTTCAGTTCACTTAGAAAGTTACGCTTCTCTTTACAGTGAAGGAACAGACCTACTCAGAAGCAACAACAGTTTCCCTGATATATTATGAGTTATGAGATATTTATGTGAGGAATAAGTAAAAAATGCATGTGGAAAATTATATAGATCTTTACGTTTCAAAAGTCTGTACCTTATTCTGTGAAAAACTGCTTTTCTATTTGTGTTTCTACATACTCTGCGAATTCTCTTGAGTCTCCTACTAATGCCTTTGACTTCACAAACCTTGATGTAAAAACAGCAAGATAGAAGAGCCCACGCCCTTTCCTCCTTCTCCCCCAGGGGCACCTGCGACTCACTGGGTAGCGCCGTGAGGAAGTCCCAGAGGTAACTTTCCACTTTACCAGCTAAGACAATGGAGGCGGTTCGCCCCATTATTTGGGGGAGCAGCTGCGCCGAGCCCTGTGGGAGCCTGTTGCCCTGTCTCCAGCGCCCACCCTGACATGTTGAGGAGGGGGCTTGTTGTGCCTGTCCGGCACCGCGCTCTGCCAGGCCCGGGCCCGCGCACGCTGCAAGAGGTTGATGCTAGCAACAAGACAACCTGCTGCGGAGCATGCCCACCTTTTGCTTGAAGAGGCGGCTCCCACTCAGCACGAACGACAGCAGGTCCATACAGCTGAGGGCAGTCAGACTCAGAAAAACTTCATTGTAGCTTTCTAGCTGGTCAAAATCATTCACGTGCTGTATGTAGTAGGCCCTGAAGAGGTGATAGGGGAGGAAGCAAATTATGATGACACAGATGAAAATCAGGTTTTTCACCTGGGCCCAGAACTCTTGGTGTGACCAGAGTGAGGTAGAAAATTTTCTTGCCACTTTTACCAGGATGAAAATCTGCAGGCCCAAGAGGATACAAGTAATGCAGGCGACAGATACAATTATGGTGTAGTTCAGGGCTTTCACGCTCTCCTGTTGAAGTTCTTTGTGGAACTTAAAGCACGTCGTATCATTGTATGAGCCTGAGCGTCCATATTCAAAGAACAAGACTGGCACCACAAAGACCATGACAAAGACCCACACGGCAGCGCTTGCCGCAATGGCGTGTAGCTTCCTGTAAAACTCCACCTTGTCTTTCCATTGAAAGAAGATGAGCCACCGGATCACCAGCGTGATCACATAGAATAGGAAGGTCAGGTACATGTGGATGTGCACCATTGCACTCACCATTTTGCAGAATGGCATCTTGAATATCCACTTCTTGTTGACATAGTAGTGCAGGCGGAAGGGCACTGTGAAGAGGAGGAGGCTGTGCACAACAACCAGGTTAATGATGGCTGTAGTGGTCACGGACAGAGTGTTCATCTTGACCAGCACAAATGACATTGTGATGGACCCGATCCCACCTCCAGCAAAGGCAAATGAGTAGGAAGTAATCAGTATGGCACTCATGGTGCTGCTGTGAGTGAAGGCAGAGGACGAGTTACTGTTGTTTCCATTCTCTTCAGTCATGTTCCTGAAATCTTCCTTGTACATATTCTAGAAATGAAGGAATACATAAAGACTAAGATAAGGTAGGAGTGAGAGGGCCCACCTGAAAAGCCAGCAGAGCTTTCCACCTGGATCTTGCTCAAGGGATAATCCTGGAATCTCACAGCTGGCACACGCTGTAACCAGTAGATTTATCCAAACAGCCTCCAGCCTGGAGAAAAACGGGTGAGAAGATTGGGTGGAGAAGCTGTTCTAGTCCTTAAGACATTGCTAGTCATACCCTTAAAAATAAACATGCATTAGTAATACGTGGGAAGAAGGGACCCTTAGAGAAATGACGTGATTATGGTGGTTTTGAGGTCTCTGTGTTATTAGTTCTCCTCTCTTCTGGGCATCTGCATGTTTTTGTGGTGAAGATCAGAGATATTGTTCAAATTCTGCTACTCATTCATCAGTTTGTTTATTTGCAACACAAATCTGCCCTTTCCAGAGCCAGATAATAACCATATGTTGCTCTATCAAAGCTACAAATTTTGTTACTGAGAGCTGAGTTTTGCACACATTACAGTCAACTCCTTCTTCTCCATGGACAGTTTTTTGGAGTAAGGGATTAAACACCATGGATACCCAGGCTCCATGGAGATCCTGCTCAGATCCTGCCAGACTGAGTAGCGTGGGCAGTGTTGTCCTGGTGCTCAGGGCCATTTCACATCTAATATGTAGCAACTGGGTGTTACAAAATGGGCTGTTAGAAAATATTAGGAAATTACACCCTGGGTTAATGCAACTAATCCTGCCTGGCCCAAGATGAGGCTAGATGAAAGTTAATAGCAAGATTAATAAGTATGCTATATATTTTTAATATATTACTGTTTCAAATAGAGATTAAATATAATTCTTATAGTTCTAAATGTAACTTCTGCTAGGATTTTTAAGTACTACAAGATCATGTGGGAGGGCAAGAGTTCATGTAGTGTGTTATCCTGAAGTGTTTGCATCTATGAAAGTATCAAGAGGATGTCCATGCTTCAATCACAGAAAAGAAGCAGGGAAAATAGAAGAGTGCTGGGCTTTGTACTATCCCAGTTATACTGTCGCTGCTACCTGAACTGTAATTTAAAACTGACTGTTGTATGTCATCCATTTCACCAGTGAATCCCACAACACAAGAGGGGGTTTTCTCCTGACTGAGTTTTTGTAGTTTTTCTTTTAATACTGCATTGTTGTTAACTTCACAAAGTAGTTCCTCTATCTCTTTGTATGAGTGATGTTTCAGTTTATTTTCATTTTTAGGTAGCACATACTGTCAGAAGTTGGGAGGGGAAAAAAGTTCTTCAGCAGTTCTCACTTTTGTGGAAAGGAGGAAACACCTATAACAGTTTTATAAATTGGTTTTGCTCATAGTGGGTAATGAATATCTGTGATGCATTTCAGATAGTTTTTATTACTTCCTAGTAATATTTCTAAGTATTTGCCCCTAGAGTAATTGAGATCTCTTTATACATTGAAAAGTCAGTTATTCTCTAGCTATTCCAATGCATCTAAGACTCCAGGTATTTTATTTTAATCAGCATAAATATAACTGCCATATCTCAAATTGATGTGTTGGCTGTCGGCACTTACTGGCCTTTTCTGTTTGAAACTGCATTTCAGAATTATGTGGACAACTAATTCCAGTGCATTATGAGAAGTAAAATGGGTTGCAATAAAAGAGCTTTTTCTCAAAAGTGCTGCTGATTGGCACACTGCAGGTCTTGCATCAGATACGGTGTAAGTTCCTTCCAGTTCTGTTCCCATTTCTGAGATGTTGCATTTCAGCCTCACAACCGTGCAAGCCAGAAGGGATTAGCAATAGCTGTTCATCAGTTTCTCCAAGTTGCTAAGCTTTAATTTGAAAAGATGTCTCTAAAAAGTGGCTTTATCGCACTGTTTTTAATTAAAATGCATATTTAAAGTTTAAAAAGTGCCACAGCCCCGAAGGCAACATGGTGGAAATGTAGGTTTGTATGAGCAGCCCCAGTAGCAAGGCTGTGCTTGGAGGGGAAGGACCCCTCACCGTCACTATTTGAAGCCCAACAGTGAAATGTGAACTGAAGGCAGTAAGGAGCAGATAAGCAGAAGTCAGATAACTGGCATTTTCCTCAGACATTCCTATTAAGGTCACAGTGAGAGATCTATTTCTGTCTGCAAATAAGCAACTAAGACACTGAAATACAGGTTTCTGCAAAATTGCGGTCATTGCTAAATCCCTTCATTGTAAGATTCTGCAGGAAATCTCATTTTCATTAATCTTCCAAAAAAACGCTACTGGCAGCCACAGTATGAGATTATCAACTCCTCAATACTACAGGCATCCCACTGAAATACCATTGCGTGATGAATACAGAGTATACCATGATACAGGCTGTGTTTCACAGAGGAAACACTGCTTTCCGGTGAAATGAGGTTTCCTATTGTACCAACATTCACATAGCTATAACCTACTGACCTGAAATACGACTAACAAATCCTTTGGCCAGAATTTAGCAGGAGGCACATGGAATGAGAAAGAATGCAGGTCTTATAAAAGACTTATTAATTATATGAAATAAGTCTATATACTGAACTTCACTGGAAATATGAGCTATAAAAGTCTCCAAGAGCCGGAAAATATCTCACAGCAGAGGAGAAACAACAGAAGAGATCACTGAGAGTGGTATCAAGCTATCTGAGGAATTATCTTCCCCCGTGCTGCTTTGCCCCTTGCCAATGTCAGCTGGTGTAAGCTCTGGCCAGCTGTAACAGTATTGCTTCAGTACTGAATCCATCTTGCTAAAAACTAGCTTTTTAAACAGTGTTATCATTACCTTGTATTCTACAGAGTGACTGTACCCTGATCACAAAGTTACAGTTCAATCTCATCCCTTCTTGCCTCCTCCCTACACACCTTCTGGCCCCAAACAATGTCTGAAGCCCCAAGGAGCTCCTCCAGAACAGTACCTTGCCTCACCCAGGAGGCTTCCTTTCATGCACACTAATGTTAAATCTTGACATCTGTAAGAAAAGAAGGAGTGCAGAGAGGACTTACCTCATTGTGCATCCAAAGGCAGAGTTTCTCCTCGAGATGTTCTTGTTCCCGTGCCTTCTTACCCACCCTAGATATTGCCAGCTCAGAGATATTGCTCAAGTTTTGGAGCAAGGTTTGGTCTTCCTCTGCGTTGAGCCTCTCATCGCTTGGCTAAACCTCTGCCAGACATGCGCTTTGAACAGCCATGAGGCAACAATGGGCAACCACTTCATTTGAATGCCATAGCAGTCAGGGAGGCATCTGCTGGTACCAAGGGCTTGGGGACAACTGCCAAAATATCTGTGCTTTATTTTGACAAAGGAGGTAGATTGCCAAAAGGCCAGATGCTGGGTTCTTTCAGAAATGTGAACCGCAAAAAGACTTTCATGCATTGAAGATTCATCAGTTATCAGTGTGGATAAGGCCATCACATTCATTTCCTGTGACTTTCTGCACAGCACAGTCCATAGGACTTCCCTGGACTGCTCTCTTCAGGCCAGGGAATGCCATCTACGGAAATGATTTGGTCTTTGCCAAAACTTTCCTGGTAAAATAATATTCATTCCAACCGTCAGGAACTTCTTTCTCTTACTTTTAATTACCTTACTGTTAATTATCTTACTGTTTGGGTTTGTTTGTTTGGTTGGTTGGTTGTTTTTTTTTAAAAAAAGGCGACCCATATTTCTAGGCAGAATTTGTACAACCTCAGCTTCCAGGCACAGTACGTGCTTCTAGGTTTGCCTTCAGATTTAAAAACCCTTTGTCAGATTTTTGGCTTTCCCTACATACAACTGGAGATAAGTAGATACAAGAGACAGAAGATACTGATTTTCTCTTCATCCCAGTCATACTTGTGGATTCTCACTGAACTTCCTCCATTAGCATTGTGCTCCTATTTGATTCTTAGATGAACAGCTTTGCATTTGGCAGTGGTAAAATACGTGTTGCTCGTTTGCACCTGACTCAACAATCCAGATCACCCTGTCACTGGCTTGTTCCCTTCATTGCTTATTCTTTCCCCAGCCAGGTTTATCAGACACCATTATGTTACATCAACATTACATCCACTTATTAAAACCCAACCCCCCCAAAAATCATTTGTCAGAAGCAATGACACTCGTACAATCTCTGCCAAACAGTGATCTCTACTCTCTGTATAACAAATGTTTGCACAATTTATCCCACTGTATAAGTCTGCTGAAGGACTGTCAAGCTTCACACAGATTTTCATGTGTTTCAACAGTTGGGTTCTGCAGAAGAAGCATTTGCAGCCTGCATGCACCCAACTGAGAAGTTTCATTTGCATTTGGAGAGAAAAAAGCTCAATTCAAAGGAAAGATTTCTATTTTTGACAGATTTAATAAAATGGAAAAATGAATGTTCATCAGAACTGACATTGCTGCATTGAACTAAACTAGGTTGGAGGCAGTGCAAAATATAAATATTATTTAACAAAAGTCTGTTTAAAATGTGCATTTATTTCACAAACATCCTCATTTAGTCTCAGAGATGTTTTCTGTTGAGAGCATTGTAATTGCTTTTTGATTTGCTCTAATTCCATGTTGTGTTATATAATGTAGGTTATGCCACTAGAATAGTTGTAGCATTCTCTTAATTTCAAAATAACCACACACACCTGAAGTTTGAAGTATAAATGTCCACTTAAAGGAAAACATTACAAATTAAAATTATGAAATATCAAGTGTGTGTTTACATTTAGATACTGACTTTGATTTTCAAACAACTGATTCCTCTAATTCATTCACTAGCTTATTGACTCATGTCTTGCAGGCTGTGTTATCATTATACAGATACATTTTAGTTTAAATCCAGTCTATTGAAGAACAAATGGGATGGGAAAACATGTTGAATTAGTCCACTTTTGTTTGAGATTTTCTCTGGTTTTACACAAAAATGGAAACCAGGGAACCTCCCTAAAAATAATTATTTACCATCCTAACTGTATCTTATCAAAAAGAACAAACTTACCTTTACAGAGGTTGGATGATATCGAACACACACAAAAAGAAGGGTGAAAGTGAAATGGATTGCCTCCCAATTTTAGGAGGCAGTGCAGAACTACAGGATAGCAATATGAAGAAGTATGAAGCAATGTTTTCCTGTACTAGGAAATTATAGATAACAATGATGAAAACAGTTGTGCAGAAAAGCCTTAAAAACTGTTAAAAATAAATTAACTAGATAATTGGATACTTTTTTTTTTTTTCTTAATGTTGGAAACATTGTTTTAAAAACATTGCAAACCAAGGTTTTTGTTCATGCTGTGTATACCTATAGATTAGAGTTTATCTCCACTCTTCAAGTGTTGTTTACTTGTCTCTTCATTTTATGTAAGCCCTGAGAACAAAAAGCAAAACATCTGATATTTTAAAGTCATTGCCTTACTTCCCTCTTTGAGCCTATGACGAAGCCACAACCATGAGCCTCAGTTATGTGAGGGCAGGGCTGCCCATAAGCACACAACCTCGGGGAGATTTTTGGTTGCATCACAGGATCCCCTAATCTGCAGCTATTTCTTAGTCACATGAGGTCTTCAAAGCCTCCTGTTTCTGAACAGTTACATTCTTCTATTGCCTAGAATGATCGAGTCTATGCACAGATGTAAGCCCCACAGATTACAAAGACACTTGTTTGGAAAGGTTATTCCCCACAGTGGAGGAGATCATTTGAAAGAGTGTTTTGAGAGAACAGGGTAGGACAGGAGCAAAATATGATCTATATTGTAACTAAGCGTGGGTTTCTGTATGGTTGAAGTATGGATGTCAAAGTGTAAGGTATGAAACAAAGCCCACCCTAAAGCCCAGCACCATGTCTCAGCCCTGCTTTCTGCCAAGACTGTAGCTCAGCATCCGGACCTTGGGTCTCGGTGCCATTGCTACACCTGTACGGTACTAGCAGAATGAAACTGGATTTTATTAAAAAAAACATTAGCCATGACAGTATCAAAGGCTCGTCAGCAGGGATGGTTGCTGTGTGGTGTGTGTGGTAAAATGTCTTACTGCAGGACTGAGTCTGTGTGTGGAGTTTGTGCAAGGCCAGTTTTTCCCACCTGCAGGCTTAACTCGTTTCTGTCAGGACACACAGTTATATTTGAGTATAACAGTTTTGAAAGCAACGGTATTAACATTCAACATTTACATCTAATCTTTCATAAGAACATTTTAACTGACTACATCCTGTTGCTTCACATTTCGTTAAAAAAGCACAAGGGACATACTGTTCTGTGGTACTTCATAACAGACTGGTATGTGATGGAGATTTTCTTTTTGCATTTTGCAATTTTAACAGCGGCTAACAGCTAAAGATCTGTTCAGATAATAATAAAAAGTGATCAGAATAATAATGCTTAGCTCTTACCCACTACCTTTCTGCAGTTGATCTCAAAGCTCTGTTAAAAGGCAGACCTACCATTCTTCCCATGCTACAGCTAAAAAGCTGAAACATCTATGGCAAAGCCAGCTATAAAGCTAAGATATCCTTAAATGAAGTCCTGTACTTTCTCAAGTTAGTCATGTTGTCTTGGTTTCTTGTAGATCGTGTTCTGGAATAAATTCTTAATTAACAGTGGGAAGAAAGCCAAGATATCTTAAAGACCTGCAGGTAGCATCTAAATGTGTGTTTTTATAAAGTTATATAGTATTGTTGATACATATAATAAGTTAACGTATACAATAACTTAATACATATCTTAATATGTATAAGATTGTTGATATATAATTTAGATACATACAATGATTACATAACATATAAGTTAGATAATATTGTTGATAAATAACAAAGTTTTTTTTCCCAAGCAGTCATCAGAAATAGAGCTTTCCAGGTTTACTTCTTTCCATATGTTTGCATTCTGAAAATCTTCAATCCTTGCACTGACCCAGGATTAAAACAATTATTGAAATACCAGAGTTTGGTCTGGGACAGTCATCCTCATTATCTTTGTCTCTAAGCTGTAGTTAGCATCAAGATCTAGATAGGTACAGAAAGCTTAATACACATGATTGCAATTCATTTTCCCTATTAAACTGATGCAATTTTGCCCAAGATTTAGCAATAGCATATATAATCTCTGGAATATGTTTCTCTCACTGTGGTTCAAAGAATTGATTCCAGACTGGTATGTTTATATTTACACCAGCAACATACTGAGCTGGTGGCAGAATGTGATTATTTTAGAGCATGACCCACCTTCTGAATTTAAATGCAGGTACTAGAAATGCACTTATTTTGTAAGTTTTCAGTAACTGCTGATGGTCTTGGCAATACCCCAAAATCTAGAAGTATGATGGTGGGTTTGCACAGTGCAATTGTATCACCTGGATCAGACCATCATCTAGTTTGAATTTGCATTATAGCAACGGTTTCTGGGCCAAGGCTGTTTAATAATAGTCAAGAGTCTGGCCCAGATTTCAAGGGCTACTTGTACTGAGAGCTGTGTAGCATCAAGGTTCCTTTACTCTGGATTGCATGAAAGGTTCTTGAGAAAAGAGAACTGTGTCCTTTATGCTCAGGCCTACTACATGCTGTTAGTGAGTCTTCAGCTGTTCCGAAATTGGAGATGTACACAGAATAACCATGGCAACCCAGGTGGGGTTTTTTTTACATTTTGTACACTTATTTTTTTACATTTATTGCTCCAGGGCTCAAGGATTTGGAGTGCTAATTCAGAAGCGGACCATAAAAGGTGGTAAGAGGTATGCAGGTGTGGTGGTTGGGACTTCTGGAAAACTACCTCTCTCCTTCACTTATGTAGGTGTCAGAAAGCAAAGACTAAGATCCACCCAAACACCTTAAATTCACTGTGGCTAACCTGACTCTTTTAGTTAGTTGAGGGTAAAGCTGGAGTGACACTCCTGAAAACTCTGAGCTGATGTTGATAGCAGAGAATCAGGTCCCAGAGAGGTCTCTAAACCTGTGATTGCTAAGGGTGAGTTTTGAAATATTCCCCAAAGTGTGAGGGACAGTTACCTGAATAAAACTGCTTTGCTGGACAGTTGATCAGACAACTGCCAGCCAGAAAACTTCATCAGAAGTAGTAAAATATTCCTTAATTATATAAT